ATACTATAGGTTAAAAAGAAGATGGGGGAACAAGGAGGGCAGAATGCCTATAGCGTCAGATATTAAGAAATCATATTCAATATGTGAATTGAGTATTTGAATTAACTTCTCATTATTTAAATTTATGAAATTATGAGAGAAAAAAACCTTTTCTGAGAGGAAAAAATATCTCGTAATTTTTTTTATAAAAATATTAGATGGTATTCGTGGGATTCGAACCCCCTGGCAATAAAAATCCGAATTTCCATACTGCATTGAGACTAACCCGCTAACCACTATGCTACATGGCTCATGATGATTGTGGGCATTTAAATCATTTTTGTGATATGACCCTTGACTTAATGGACTTGAAGTAATTCTCAAACAGATGCGAATGTTTTGCCATAAAAGTGTACTTTTAATGTGTAGTGGGTCTACGCTCCATGCATGTTTTTGTAAACCAAAAAATGTATATTTTATTGCAAACTTTCAGGATTATCTTTCAAAAAAATGGAGTGAAGACCAACTCATATTAAAAAAAATTGTTGAAATATGAGAAAATGATCGTTTTTGTTCTTTTTAATGTGTGTATGCTTTTTCATTGGCAAATATTTTCAGTCTTTCTGGGGTTTTTGTAAATTGTAGAGATTTTACATTAAGTAAACTTTAATATTAGATGAAATATCAAATAAAATTTGGATATAATTGAGATTTAATTTTTCACTTCTTACATGTATCTGTCGCACTAAATAGGCACTTCGTCCGCCTCATCTTCTTTATTCCGAATCAAGTGCCTGTGCTTTTTACGTACAAATATGATGCTCACTTACCGGGTTATAGATGGGTCCCATGTGCCCCATGTTTCCCATCGGAGGAGGAGCGTAGCCGCCTGGGGGAGGGCCTACTGGTCCCGTTCCTGGTGGGGGCCCATATCCACCGGGATGACCTCCATAACCGCCCGGAGGGGGGCCGTATCCACCTGACGAGGGGCCTCCATATCCACCAGGAGGAGGACCATATCCACCGGGAGGGGGACCGTATCCACCTGGGTAACCTGGAGCGCCACCTGGCGGCGGGGGATAAGCGCCGCCAGAGGGAGGCGGGTAACCTCCGTATCCACCCTGAGGCGGAGGGTAATGACCCCCTTTCTCCGGGGGAGCGTGGCTTCCGGTGGGCTGAAAAATATATGAAAATAAATCAATAAAACAGCTCATAGGCAGTTTTGTATTCTAATTGAAAACTGCAGTGCACGAAATGCATGCACAAAAAAGATGTAATTTTTAAAACTATTGCTAAAAGCCAAAATAAGTAAATATTCTAAATAAGGGGGGTTTGCGCATGTACATGTTTTCATAATTGGTCGCATTGATCTATGCATATATCAAATATTAATCTTAAATCTTCACTACGTTTGGACATTCATGTTTGGAAATGTATCCATCATTACATGCCAAGGACACATGAACAAAATTTAACCCACAGAAGAATTGATTTAACTGATACGAAACTGACAAGTACTTACATACATTGGAGTGTGTCACAGAAGAGGAACCGGGCGACACTTATAAACAGTCTGTTACGAACAACATAGTCCGCATTGAAAATTGTTAACAACTAGTCAAGCTTGCTATTTAAATGTGTATTTCTAAATACTCATTCTATTATTGAGAAATAACGCCATGTCTGTGACTTTAAAAATCAATATCTTCTTCGGGTGTTGTGCCCAGATCTGGTTAATCTAAGACACCAGTCTATAAACCCTGCTAAGGGGAAAATGGTGCAGAAGGAGATTCGTAATTATTTTAATTTTTATTAATTATCTGTTCAGAGTTGTCGTCCCTTGCAATTTTGACGTACGGTGTCATTGTCTAGAATATGCCATGTAGGGTTTCTATAGATATGTGTATTCATCTAAAAATATATATACTACAGTATTACATAGATTTATATGTAATATAGTAAATAAAGTTTTTTTGACATTGATTTCCGATTGATATCATGTTCTCCAATAAATTTTCTATAATAAGTGGAATTATTACTATACATTTGTATTCCCAAATTTTACATCACAATATTCATATACACAAGCATTTACATTCACTGAATTTTATTCTCCCTCATTCTTTATACACGAAAACCACTTAATAAAATATATTTAAAAAATTATCAATAATGCAATGCATGTATTTTGCATTTTTACAATGCAAACTTTTTTTATGTGAATAATTTATACAAAAAAAAAAAAAAATAGAAATATGCTAATTTGACCATGGGATTAACGAGTGCAACAATCGCAGAAAACGGCATAATTAGCGTACACCGGCCATCTACGTTTATTGCAATGATGGTAAACCTGCATTAACAAAGAATTAAAAATCATTTTATTAATCTTGTGCAATGTACCACTTATTAATTTGACTTCTCATCTGATATATAATTCCTTTTTGGTTTGGTTGAATTGCTTGCTTGTTTTGATAAGAATTTGAATTGCACACCGCAGTCAAACACAAATTAAACATGTACCAGTACATGTATCGTCAATAACGTAATTATACAGTAAAGCGAGTGTAGTTTTTTTTTTTAACTTTTATTTTATTTTCATCATTTGAATTTCATTAACAAAACAATCATAACAAATCATAATCAAACATTAAAAAGTAAAACTAATGCGACGTCGATCTTACACATTAAGTGCATAGTAAGTAAAATACTAACATAAACGCAGAATTGTTGTATAATCTGTACATCCTCAATTATTTAAAATAATGCATTGCATTTTTGTTATATACAATTTTACCATATTTACACCAGCATGTATAGAAATATGTACAAATAAATTTATGAACAATTAGCTCAGTTTCTATGTATATTGGCAAATATTTTATGTACAATTTGTTACTTTTTACATGTTGAATTACATGTACATTGTAGTAATATTTAAACATAGGTACATTTCTGTCCATTCTTCCAGTAGGTGTGAAGTTCCGAACGCCCAATAATGAGGTTTCCAAGAGTGCACGAATAAACATTGTTTGGATGGTGAACCACTCGCTTCTTGATTTTTGGTACATTTCGCATGGTGTTCGATCTAGCATTATAATTATAGAAATACTTATTCAAACACGCTGTTCGTGACTGTGGTTCCTTTACTGGCGTAGGTATGGGACTACTCGTCAACAAGTCGGCACGTTTCTGAATTCTCTCGAGTCTATCTTTCAATGCTTTATCCTTCTGTCGCATCTTCTCCGTTTTACGGTTTAGCACTTCCAAACGTCGTTGCCAATGCTGTACTTGAGTACTTTGTCTTGGAATCCATAAATGCGGAAGTGACATCACGCGATGCAAATTGTTTGAATCAAATTCAGAATTTCCCGGAAGCTGTGGAGCAGAAATGGCACGTTGGATAACTTTTGCCGAGGCACCAGTCCATAACATATCCTCATCCACTTCTTCAATGACGTCAGTTGCTTCTTTGGGTGTGCTGTGTCTAATTTTTCCTTTTTCTGCAAAGACGTCATATTTCGTCTGCGATTGAATTTCAATTTCTTTAGGTGTACTATGACAAAAATCGCCTTCTTTTAAGATTGCCTGACATCTCGTCAGTAGTTTATTTCCATGTTCTTTTGGGGTCCTGTGTAAGATTCGAGCTGTCTTCAAAACTGCACGGTGACCGGGCTTTTTGATTGCTCTCAATGTTTCTTGATTTTTACTTTTCTCACTTAGAATATTCGTTAAATCGTTGTTAAATTTAGGCGTACTGTGAATGATTTCCTCTTTTCTGCGCTGTAAAAATTCATGTGTACATTTTACTTTCTTCACGCAGATATCTTCCTTTGACTTACTTTGTGAAAATAGTCCAGTTTGCAGAACACTTTCATGTTTACCATGAAATCGACTTGCAGCTTCTTTCGGCGTACTGTGTCGAAAAGTGTTCATATCTTGAAAAACTAAACATTCTTGGCCACAAGACCTTTTCAGCATCAATTCAGCATCGCCAGATATAAAACACTCGTTCACATTCAAATTTAAATCCATTAGCACAAATATACAAAATACAAGGACATTAATATTCACCAAAGTATGTCTTTGTTCGCGCGCCCCCAAAACTTGGACTGTTAAATCTAACTAATTACTTGCGGTATTTATACAATTTCACACCTTGTCAATCACTTTTACTGACAGTGTTAGAATTATATGCATAGTGACACTGAACATTTATCACACTGAAATTCGTTGGCGTCAAAATCTGAGTGTGTTCGTTGTATTCTAATTAATTAATATTTCTTTATAATGGCAATTCAGTGAAGACAGATATCATGAAACTGTCAAAGTCACAGTGAAAACAAGTGACTAAATCCTGTTAATTTATCTATCTTCAAGTGTCTGTAGATTGATTTCCTACACAACAATTTTTGCTTGCATAATTATTTAATTGTTTGCACATAATGTGTAAATATTCATCATGCATAGTTACATAAAATTTCATTTGATAGAAACATGCATGTATCAACAACAACAAAATGAAATAAAACCTATTTTTTGCATTCAAATGTATTTTAAAATATATTTTATTCACATAAACATAAACGCCTGATTCAATCTACATACATGTAGGTCTTTTGTGTATTTGCAATGACTAGTGATAATGCTTTTAAAAACGCATTCACATATGTTATTTCTTACAGATACTTTTTCAAACAGATTTTACACTAGTCTCCATAAATTCTTTAACAATGCATTAAATTAAACTTGTGTAATGTTTCAAAATAACTTCATGTTCAGAAAAAATATAGGTCCTTTTACATGTATATGTATAAAAATTTAAAATCTGTAACGGGAAACTAATTTACCTGGTATAACAAAAGTTTCAATTAAACATTAAAATAAAGGATTTGCTGTGCAAATACTACAAATTGTAAAAAATAACAAAAACAATATGCCTCCCCTTTGAAGGGAAGAATAATAATTAAAGTTAAACAATTCAGAATAAATTCTTTTTTTTTTAAATTAATTCATAGAAAATTCTTGTCTTTAAAACTTTGCAGAGAAAATCAAAGATGTTTTTTCCATGTGCATTGAGTCTGAAATTGACAGAGTTCACTTGATGACATCAGGTGGAGCTTCATGCAGATCATTTTCTGTCACACCTTTTGCTGCTAATTCTTCTAACACACGGTCCAGGAATGTGGGATCTGGGTATCCAAAACTGTAAAGACATTTCAAATACATGTATCTCATAAAGCTTTAGAAATGACTTTTTAACTAATTTAAGTCAGGCATTGTTTGATCTTGCTAGTTAGTTTTCATGAGCTTGTAAAATCATGAAATGAATAATGAGAATATGATTATTATCCTTTGCATTCCTGAAAAAAAAAAATTAAAAGCCCATGCTCAGCATTAATAAATAAGGTTTTCTAATTTACCTGGCTTTCACATAGGCAATTTAAACATTAAATCAAGGTGCATCCCTAATGTCCATTTGCATATGTAATTAAGAATCACTTTTTTCAATTTGTTTACATAAATTCCTTCTTTATATTAAAACTTTCAATTATTCTACTTTTCCTATGGTGTGTAAACGTATGCATAGAATGCTATGTGCCTTTTTTAAAATCTACAGCTAAACATGACCAATGGGGAAAATATGGACGGAAATGTAACATATGTACATTATATTCAATGTCATAATGAAATCGATAATGGAATCATTTGCCTTAAACTATTAATTTAACTTGATAAGCTGTCTTTTTTCTGTTGAATTAAAACACACAGAGATTCATTTTTTTTCACATTGTAACACAGTTAACAACTATTTCCTCTTAATAATAAACCCTGGCAAATTATGATATTAATTTTTCTACTGGTTTCCTTGATTTAAATATTATGATTTGTGAGGATGTAAAGACCTTATGTGAAACTACCATTCCATATATGTTAGATAAAATATAACACAAAGCCACCCAACCCATTTCCCATATCAACTTATTCACGAGGCACAAATATAATGCTGATCTATGAAGGAACCACCTACTTTTCTGGGCCTCCAGATATGGAAGTTTTATGATGAATGTCATTCCATGTTACACAGTTGTCTGCCCCTGTAGTTCGTGATCTTCCGACCGTGAAAACTAATCTTCTGTTGAATGCTACTTTCAGGAGACGGGCCACAATTTGTCCTTTTTCATTGTCAGGGAGATAACCAGTACGACTTGTTCCATAAAACCTCTGTCCTGGGTTGGGATGTTCTGGCTTTAAAATTATGAGAATCATCTGAGTTTATAATTAATTTGAAAACCAGGTAACTCTGATCATGTGGTCTTATGAGTCCTGAATGCATGTATCTATTATTGTTTGTTGAAGTGTGCACAGTCATCCATGTTCTTGTACATTTTGCATTATTTCATGACAAACATAGTATTTGAGATGAAACAAAACTTTTTTTTTTATATATTACATTTCAGTGTTGAAATACAAATTAAACTTTTATATCAACTGTCCATTTGCACACCCAAGTTCTTGAATTTTCTTTTTAATCTCACTTACCCCCTGCTTTCCATCAGCAAATGAATAGTACACTCGAATTAATCCTTTCTCCGTAAAACCTGGAAGCTGGTGTCGCCGGTCCCGATTTATCTCCATGTGTCCTGGTGGCTGAGTCCCAATAATAACTCCATAGGCTGTAAAACATATGGGGCACTGTGGCTTGTACTTAAAATGGCTGTCAATGCAGTCCTTACAAAACTCATGTGAGCATTTGTCCAGTGTCTTTTTATTTTGCAAGACATCCATGCATATGACACAGTCACTAATTTCATCAACTTCCATTGGCTCTTCTTCAGTTCGTGGTAAATGGGTGGGCCCTTCTTGCTGCTGTTGCTGACTTGTACTTTGGCCCTCTAGCATGCTACTGGGAATCTACAATCAAATTCAAATAATCTTATATCATTTACAATAAAACAAAAGTACTTGTTTAGTGTTAATTGACTTGTTGGCAATTTACAAATTAAAGTTTGAAAATGTGCAATAATATTTAAAGCCGATATATCTTGATACATTACCCATAGAACGCCATTTTCTTTTATCAAAGACCACACATATGCTTTCAAAACGGAAGTAGAACTTGATAAATTCTACTTTCGTTTCTGTGAAAAAAGAACTTGCCTATGTCTCGTTATAGAATATAGGCACAAAAAGAACACTGCTTCTGTACGAAATCCGTCAACAAATCCATAAAAAAAACTGGACATCTAAACAGACTTTGCAATAAGACAACAAAAATACTTATTTCTTTTTGTTGTGAAATCTTTACAATAATCTGATAATATAAACAAACACCTGGAGACAACATTACCTTTGACATTTTACAGCTTATTAAATTAAAAATGTATATTCTTCTTCTATTTCCCACTCTTGATGAAAATATATATCAAAGTAAATTGTGTCGAACTTTTAAATATAATGGACAACATCTTGAATCGAGAATAAAAAACGCTTTTGACTTTTGACGTTAAAGAAAACACCGGAAGTTTTTCAGCAGTATATAAAAGAAAGATTACATCAATGGATGATAATTTTCCGGAAATTAATTTTTTACCAACTTTTGAGCCCTCCATTATTAAAGGAAATACAATAATTATTCTCTACATGTGAAATATCTATTTTTCTTTACTTTCGATAATCTTCCAGGTATTATTGATATTCCAAGGGAAAATAGTTTGTTCATGCATGTTATCTCACCTTTGAGTTCTAAAAATAAACCATATCAAAACAGGTATTAAACAAACTACTGTAAACTTCCTACATAAACAGCCAGGACGTCACCTGAATGTGCTTTTAGTTAATAATCTCCATATTAATCGATGTTAAATGCAAAAAAAAAAATATCTAATCGATAAATTAAAAGTATCTTTCAGCATTATAACTGCATGACTTATAGGATCTACATGGACGTTTTAGAAACCAGTATACATATTTTGGATTTAACTTTGAAACAGGAAGTTAAAACATCATTTCATGTGTAGAGTTACCTGTGCTTAAAAATTGTTCACATGAACGGTAAGTACTTGATCTGTGATGGATCAAATGTTAATTTTTACAGTAGGTGTGCATTGCGATATATAAAAATTGTTTCCTAATTTGCATTGTCTTTGTAGCACATAGAATAAAAGGACATATTCGGCAAAATTACGATATTTTCGTTTAAAGTCAAAGAAAAAAATGTTATCATATATTTAAATATTCTTATATTAATAATCAAACATGGATCAAAGTTCAAAATAAAATGTGTGTATGCGGCTTTTATTTAAAAGACATTGTTTGAATTTTGAACACGGAAGAAAATTTTATGTGCCAGGGTATACAGGCTTAAATACACACCGAACATTCCACGGGTGAATGGAAAAACGTTTGACTTTAACAAGAGGCGAGAAACACACAGAGCTGTAGGTTATCGGATGGAAATAGCTTTCTCTTAAATCGATAACAAGTGTTCCAAGTTCTCTCTTCTTTCTACTTACTTTCAGGCTATTTTACAGTGTATAAACAATCCTGCATTGTAAACCAAAATTTTTAAAAATAAAATTGAAAACAGAAGAAAACAGTAAAAATACAAGTAATGAAAGACGACCCATTATCTACTAGCTAACAGGGGATTTTTTTTCTTTTAATAACAATTAAGTTTAATAAATGGTATATGCTTTCCTCTTTCCTTGTCACCAAAAGTTTAACAAGGATTACTTGGATCGATAAGCTTAAGTTAAAGGAATATAAATTTTAAAAACAAACAAGCTATGATTTATTACACCCAGGCGTGCTGTGATGCTTCTTCTTCCCTTCCCTCTCCAGGCGCGAAGTTAAGAAGTTAAAAAAGCAGCAAAAATACCAATCTGATTAAAATCAGATCCTTTGATCAAATTTCGATAACAAAAAAAATACAGCGAGGGAGGGGGGGGGGGGGTTAGAATGATTTGACATAAAAGGGTGTGAAACAGCCTGTATTTGAAAATTTCCATAGCATAGCAACAGAAAAAAAGATAACTTTTGGAAAACAGGGTGGGGAGGAGGGGGGTGGTTAAAACGTGTTTGATCTCAATACGATTTACATGTATTTGAAGTTACCCAAAGAGTACTATGTTCTTCTATCAGTATAATATTCTCAGAACCGAAGATTTTCTACCCATCATTTCTACCTTATCATATCATGGCATAATTCGATTATTTAGCGATTATGCATGTACATTTGTATGTGAATTTATAAATCAAAAACAGCCTGCATGAAACTCCTCATATTCTACTCCATAACTGTCAATATTTTACAGATTATGAAGAAGTTGACACAAGATGAGCGGAGGAACATTCAATCGGAAGAAGGAACCCTTATCTGAACCTCACAGACACATAGGTAGGGGAGGGGGGATCCTTATCTGAACCTCACAGAAACATCGGTAGGGAAGGGGTGAAAGAAACCTTATCTGAACCTCATAGACACATAGGTAGGGGAGGGGGTGGGAGGGGGTGAAAAAGTCCTTATCTGAACCTCCAGACACATAGGTAGGGGAGGGGTGAAAGAATCCTTATTTGAACCTCACAGACACATAGGTAGGGGAGGGGCTGAAATAATCCTTATCTGAACCTCACAGACACATAGGTATGGGAGGGGGGGGATCCTTGTCTTAACCTCAAAGACACATTGGTAGGGAAGGGGTTGAAAGAATCCTTATTTGAACCTCAGACACATTGGTAGGGAAGGATGAAAAAATCCTTATCGGAACCTCATAGACACATTTGTAGGGAAGGGGGGTGGGGTGAAAAAATCCTTATCTAAACCTCATAGACACAAAGGTAGGGGAGGGGATGAAAGATCAATATTTTATTATGTAAAGTAAGATTACATAATTGGATTGGACATCAGGCATGGCCTATATAAGTCCTCTCCAAAAAAGATTCCTTATCTTAACCCCATAGACACAAAGGTAGGCAAGGGGGTGAAAGAAACTTATTTGAACCTCACAGACACATAGGTAGGGGAAGGGATAAAAGAATCCTTATTTGAACCTCAAAGACACATATGTAGGGGAAGGGATAAAAGAATCCTTATTTGAACCTCACAGACACATATGTAGGGGAAGGGATAAAAGAATCCGTATTTGAACCTCACGGACACATATGTAGGGGAAGGGATAAAAGAATCCTTATTTGAACCTCACAGACACATCTGTAGGGGAAGGGATCAAAGAATCCTTATTTGAACCTCAAAGACACATAGATAGGTAAAGGTCGGGGGGGGGGGGGTGAAAGAACCCTTATCTGAAACTTACAGACACATAGGTTTCCAGGCTTTTGCATGATTTTGAAATTTTACGTGCCAGGAAAACTAGCACTTAAAATACCAAACCATAAAAAGCCTGGAAAACGTCAGATATTTCGATCTAATCGGGGAGGGGGTGAAATAATTCTTATTTGAACGTCACATATACATAGGTAGGGGAGGGGTGAAAGTTCCAGGCAATCCCTTTGCCCAATATTCATGTATACCAATGGTCTGGCTAGTAATCTTAAGGGGAATTTACGTAAATATGATGCCTCTGAAATTTTGTAAACATAAGATTTAGGACTGGCAAGTTTTCAGCGAGCTTTGTACACCAATGGAATAAGTGATATAATAATGTAAATATTTACAGCACAATGATAAGTTTTAAAATCACTTACTCATTAGAAGAGACAGGGCAGCAGTGTTATTTATGGAGAAGAAGGATATTTTAATGGACTTGAGTTGCAACAAATTTAGATCCCACGGAATTTGCAACAATCCAACAAAATACAAATCGTTGAGCAGGGTGTAAATCCAGAGGAAGGATCGGGTGCCTGAAAGGAGTAAGCACCCTCTGTCGTCCGGCCAAACCCGCTGGGAATCTTGTATATTGATCAACATACCGGTAGTAGATGGAACACCTTGTAGTAAAATTAAGAAAACAAAGGCCTAAAAATATTAATATGGAACAAGTGAGCACAAATATGACCCAATGATAGGTTTTATTGCTATATGTAACAAGGTCTGTAATTATTATGATAACAACCATAGAACTTACGTAATGCTCATTTTAAACAGGTTCTTAAATTGACATACCTGTTAATAGCCTAACTCAGTTTTTAAAAAAAAAATTTTCTTACGATCTATTATAAGAATATGTCCTTAAGTGTGGAAGAAGTAAGGAGACGTATATTGTGATTCTATATGAATTGTTTTGTGAAGTATTTTTGAAAATGCATGTTTACAGGTGCTCAAGACCTTTTAAAACAGAAAGAGAGTGTGTGTCACAGTGGATTTCTGCGCAACCGCGGGAAATTGGAGAGAATTGTTGGATCAAATGCATTATTTAAAGCCATATTTTCAGAACTTTCGAAATGTAAGCCACAAATAATTTTCAAAGAGATTTATATTAATTTATTTCTTCTCAAGTTTTGTTATATAATTCAATTTTTCCTAATTTCTTTATAAATTCTTCATTACTAGGGCGTCAGCGGTTTGTGATTATTGGGCGAGGGTGTCTGTACGTCTATAAAGATGAACATGGAAGATCTCCAATATATTCCGTGTCTCTCAGAGGATATTGCAGGTAAAAATGAAAAAAAAAATTAAAACACAGGAATTATAGCATTAAGTGAAACACCATATCCTTTGGATTAAAATTTGTTACTTTACATAAAAAGTTTTTAAATTTTATTTCATGTTTATCTTAAAACAATATGAGCTGCATTTTTGAGAATCTTATTTTGCTATCAAAATATGCCATTATGATTTATTTGTAAGACTAAGTAAATTAAACCTTTATGATCAATTAGATTAAAAAAAATTAATCTATATCAAAAGAAAGACCCCTGTACAATTAAATATTTAGTATTACCAGTATTTAAGAAAACAATATTGTACAGGACGACAATAATGTAAATTCGCATCATTAAGAGCTTGTAAATATTTTATTTTATTACAAATGTGTACAACAGAAGTTTTTAAATGTTCTTTTTCTCTGTCTTTGAAATATAGTTAATGACAATTTTGCAACAGAAAAATTTGAAATCAGAGTTGCAGCTCATATTGCTTTAATGCCCTGGTAGCATCCCTTCTTGAGTGAAATTGTAACTGATAACATATATCGAATGATTTCATGTCACAAAATACTAATCAATAGTTACACACATTATCAGAACCATTTCAATTAAAAAAAAAAATAAAAATACATGTATCTGCATTTTGTAGAGTGGAGAGGCCTCCCCCAGCAATGGGGATAGAGGTGGACACGAGGAGGTGCTTTCAGGTGGTGCCGTCACACGAGGCTTCAATGAAAACCTTTGTCTTTGGTTGTGCAAAAGATGGTGAAAGGAAGGTACATGTAAATTATGTTGTTTTGAATCAGAAAAGATCAATAAATGTTCCTCAGAAGATAAAATATACCGTTCCTCAAAATTTTACATTTCTCTAAAAGGAAATGAAAGATATATTGTCGAAGACTTGATTTTCATTTTTGTAGCGAAAATTTTTGTGTTCTAAAATGGTTAAATTGAACTAAATATCGGAATGGAAGACTTTTTTTGTATATACATGTAATATACAAATATGCAGCAATGTGGCCAAATGTATATTTTGAAACAGGAGTGGATGCAGCACATCCGAGAAGAAATGCTCCTTGCCAATTCTGTGACGGACGATGGAAAGTAAGACAAATTCCATCCCCCCATTTAAAAACAATGGCCATTAAAAGTATTTTACATCGAGAATGGGAAACGAAGAATAAAAGCTTTTTACTTTATACTCTCTCGAGTTACATTTGAACAGAAATGCACTCATATATGTTTATATCTTATTTCTGTTTGAATTTTAGAGAAATATCAGGGACTGAGTCTGATGAATATGTTTACTTGGAAAGACCAGTCATTGAAAAGATAATAAAAGGAAAACCTAATGTACCTAAAAGAAAACCTCCTAGCACACCCAAACGTAAGCATGCTATTTTGTCTTCTTTTTTTAACGTTTGATAAGTTTTCTGAAGTAATTAAAATATCTATACAGTACAATTAAATGTGATATTGTATTTGATGAATTAATCATGTTTTACACACTTGTAATGGTGGGACTGACAAAATAAATATCGCTTATATCAAAACAACCATTTGTTTGTGCTTTATCAGGGAAAATGTCCTCCCTCCTCTTATTTTTTTTTACAGATAATGATGACGACACGGACAGTGATTCTGATTATGATAAGATTGCAGAGGACGAAATGAAGAAGATCAGGGCGAAACCTTTACCGGGTGATTTATTTATTGGCATAAGTTATAACATTCCTTCTGATGAAGTATTATGTAAATGATGATGAATTAAGCAAATATTGATCAACACCATATAGATAATTAAAATTAAATGATATTTATTTAATTTAGCCATCCCATCCGAGGAAGTTGTGAAAAGGCCACATAAGCCAAAGAAATTGGTTAGATATATTTATTTGGTTTACTCTTACAATGCTTAAAATCACAAATCTGTGTAAGCTAAATATTTTCGCGTCCCTATATTGAATATATATACTTTTACACAATTTCAGAAACCAAGGAAAAGTGAAGATGAATATGTTTTTAATGACTCCGACAGGGACAAGGCAATAGAGTATGAGATATCTTAATTACTATTTGGCTTAATTTATTCATGATTCAGATGAATTTCTATTAGCAGTTTTTAGTGTTATTTGTTAAATAATATAATTTTCACATTTTTCATACTGTGATATTTCTTTAAAATAAAGTGTTGAAGTAATTTTACTTAGTGGAGGAACAACAAGATTTTTTGAACTTCCACTCGGTAAATTCAAAAAGTTTGGCAAGCGCTCATTTATTTTGTAAATGACGAAAAGATATATATATACAAAACAGAGGGTCATTCATAAACATAAAACTATAAACTAAAATGCTAGATTCTCTAGTAACCAGTGTACTTCTTAAAATTCTATACTAAGTTAAAATTTAAAGAAGGATTTTTATACATTGTAATATAATTTGAATAGAATTTTATCCAATCGAGGCAGCGGAACATTCTTGGTGCGGAAATCCAGAGCAAGTGATCAACAAGTAAGTGGAGAATTTATTGAGACTCTCTATACTGTCTTTTATTTCAACTTAAACTACATTTATATTTGCAACTGTAAAACTATGGAATATAAGATTAGATAGATAGGAAAGAAAAATAATGGCAGAAATAAATACACATCACTATTTTGCCTTAAATAATTTAATAAAGCTGCTTTTGATAAGTAGCTAAGGAATGAATGTATAATTTACTAAAAAGAGCTTAGTTTTTTTTTTCTCTTTTATTAAAACATGGTACATAAATAATTCATTGTACACAAAAAGCATAATACATTCATTTCATATCTATTTGAACATCAAAATCACAAGTAATTGCCTATTTCTAGATATAAATTATCATTAATTACATGAGCCTTCCTTAGAATTATGTTTTGTAGACAAAGACAATTTTTTAACTTATTTCGAAAAATTTCTGTATACATATTTTCTTTTTCAAATCTACATTTCATTTTATATTTATAGATATTAAAACATATAAATGACAATAAATTATTCAATCTCGTTGTTTTTGAATTGATTTCGTTATAAAAACCTAGTACAAGTATTTTCCATGTGACTTCAAAACCCAAAAATAAACTAATTTTTTTCCATATATTTTCACAGAGTTTACATTTGTACAAGAGATGTTCATTGTCTTCAACAACCATACAATATTCACAATAAGGTTCTACATCTTTGTTCCATTTACTTACATTTAGATTCTTATTCAATATGCAATTCATCAATTTATAATTGAATTCAGCAACATTTTTTTCATACATATACTTACTTTTAGCTAGATATACATTTTTCCAGATATATTTGTAACTAAGATCGAAAGTCTTTTGCCACATATTTTCATAAACTGATCTTTGAAATTTAATGTTTACCAGAATTGAATAATAAAAATCACATTTAAGATTTTCTAGAGTTCTTACGCTATTATCTCTAAATAAAAATGACACTTCGTTTTTAATATTAACAAATTTGGCATATGTACAATCAAAATTGTTTTTGTATTCCCTGAGTACTTTTTTTATCATGATAAATTCACAAAATATATTGTTTTTCTTTTCCAGTATATTGTAAAAGTGTTCAATACCAAGAAAGTTTCCATCATTATCAAAAAGATCTTTGATATATAGAATATTACTTTTTATCCAGTTTTCAAAACAAAAAGGTTTAGAATCATACTGAAATAAATTATTGTTCCAAATGAATTCTGATAAAAATTGGTCTCTCTTTAAAGTACAAATTTGTTTAACTTTTTTACATTTATTGAAAGCAGAAAGGACTTCACCATAAAAAAGTGGTATTCTTATCATCTTAAAAAATCAGTATTTTCAAAGTTACATACACTTGTTTTAACAATATCATTAACTGATAGGTTTTTAAGATTAAGAATATTGTTCAACATCTTACATATTATATTTTCTTTATCTAATAATCGTTTTATCCAAGAGGCCTTTGCTGCAGTAAATTTACTCTCTATATCAACAATACCTATTCCACCTTGGTCAACTCTACCGATTAGCGTATTTCTTTTTATCCTATCTTTTTTCTTCCATATAAAGTTATATACAAGTTTTGATACTTTTTTAAAGAATTCTTTTTTTGGATTTGATAAAATAAAAGCATTATATACCAATTTAGATAATGCTAATGTATTAATTATGGTACATTTTCCGAAGATTGTTAAGTTTCGCCTTCTCCAAACACTCGGTATTCTTTCAAGTTTCTCCAATTTATTTGTCCAGTTCATATCATAACAAAAATCCTTATCATGGCCGAGATATATACCTAATGATTTTACATGGCTTTTAGCAATTTTTACACCAAAAATATGATTTTCATTTAAATACCTTTCAATAAATTTTCCTGTTAATAGACATTCTGTTTTGTCCAAATTCAATTTCGGGCCTGCGACTTTGCTAAATTCACGTACTGTTTCTAAAGCTTTTTTCATTGAATTAGTGTCTTTCAATAGATTAGTGCAATCATCTGCATGTTGAACGATTTTTAAATTTCCATTATCATCTGGCGATAAACCTATTATTTCTTCATTATTTTTAAGCTGAACTGCTAGTATTTCTAGCACAAAAATAAATAAAAGCGCTGATACAGGACAGCCTTGTCTAACCCCTCTTTGCATTTCACATGATTTTGACATCCAGCCATTATTTTTAACTTTAAAAGTTGGTTTGAAGTATAATGTCTTTATCATCTTGATAAAGTTTTCTCCAAAATTAAACTTTTCTAAAGTTTTGTACATGAGAGCTTAGTTAATAATAATAATAATATAAATTATATACAGTTCAAGATATTGATTGTACTATTCTATTTTCGTAAGCCATAATTCCAGTCTTACCCAAAACATGGGTTAGGTTCAGCTTAAGTGTTTACTTTTCTCTTGCAAATTTTTTGGAGATGTTAGCAACGAATGAGATATTTTTTGCACGCACAATTAATGCATTTTGCTCCACATTACATACTTGTTCGAGTGTAAGAAATTTTTACTATGTATAGCAAGAAGTGTATTAAGCTATTCACATTCGAAACAACTTTGTGCAACTCTGTGTTTTAAAATTGTGTTCAAATCTTATCCTGCTTGTATTATATGATTTATATCACAATTAAATACATGTACTTTTTTGTTAAATAGGTTTTATCTGTCCAAACAGAAGAAGGAATGAAAGAATATAAAATTTATTCTAAGGTTGGTTACTCTTTCTTAAGATAAGATATTCTCGACAAACACGTACCATCTAAGGCATTTTCAACTTTTCTTTAAATTGTAGATATATCGTAACAGGAAAATTCAGTGATAAATATCATTTACAATTACCAGTAATTCATTTGATCTTTACTCATAATCATATTTTCCTCAATGCCTTAATTATTTCTTCTTCAGCCTGACGGACTAACGATCGATAATAAAACATATTTTCAAACAGTAGACAAACTTATCGACAACTACAAACGAATGACTCTTCCAAACCGGACAACGACTCTGTCACGGGGATTCAGTGTCAGCGGAGAAGGATAAGGCATTGTAGTAAAACTGTTTTGACTTTCTGATCTATTTTCTATTTATCATTAGAATATCTCCTTGACGACTGATTTAGTTGTTAAAATGTAAATTATTTATTCACAAATAGAAAATACGTCAGTAACGTCATATTTTAGTTAGGAACGTCAAAGCAAAGGCAAATTCATTTTTGTTATGAGTATTCTTTGTAAATGTCATTCACAGTAATAAATATCTGTATTATATGTGTGAAAAGTCATGAACACGTATGCATAATGCCTATATTTTACATTTTTTAATTGTAAATGTTTATCAGGTTGTTATTTTTTTTTAGATATCTAATTTTTTTATGATATTTGAAAATCTAATTTTTGTCCGTATTGTGAAAAGCATGACTTTATATGTTTTGTGTTATAATACTTTATAATATATCAGTCGTTTCAATTTTAAGTCTGTCTTTTATTAAACTTATGTTAAAATATTACTAAAATAAATGTACATGTATTTGTCCACGAATTAGTACATTAGTGAATTCAATATATTTGCGATTATTCTAGAGTAGAGATATGCTAATTGATTATTGGTTACTTATATGTTATTGGTTATTATGTTCTTTTTATGTTAGCTAGTCCTCTACACATAACTTTTTAAAATCATTTCAAGCCAATAAAAAATTTCAAAAACATATATAAAATGATATATCATAAAATTTGTGTTTTTGATAATGACAGGGAAATTCTGGTTGTATAGTTTATTTCACATATCCACAAGTTACATATAATACTGTACATATACATGTATTATATGTATGTATATACATATTATTATATAAGTATTATCTTTTTGGTAAGTTTAATATTAAAAGAATCTATTTCTTACCTTTATAGGAACGTTAGCATCAAAGATCAACTGTGTTTTATCAATTGATAAGCAGAATTTCAACTGAGGTTTAAAATCTCTTTAATATTTTTGAAGAAACTTCACAAAAGATTTACTCACAATTCGGACATCAATTATATCTTTTTTTATTTAAACGTTATAAAAAAAGAGGGCCAGTATATAGTGAAGATAAAGAATGGCGATTAAACGGCATCTAATAATTTTATTGTCAAAGTAAAACAAAAGAATCGTGTTTTAACGTTGGTATCTCCATGCTGAGTAAGGTAAAGCCATTCTAGATAATACTTAATAGAACTAATTAATTGAAACAACTCGGTGACTTTATTCTTTACACATAAAGATCAATTGCTTTCTTTTTTCATGCTTACTCAGCTATTCCCGTCTTTGACGTCATTTTGTATTTGACGTATGCACTAAATCTTCTGTAGGATCATCATTTGCATTTTCACTCTCCTTATTAACAATCTTCAGTAATTGTTGATAATTTTTTTTTTAAGTTTGGTCTCTGAGGTTTAAAGAGAGACCGTTTGCCAATCATACAAAATTATATGTGTATATTCATATATTTTAAATAGTCCCATCCTCATCATTTCAGATTGAAGTGTTTTCAACTGCTATCATATTTACTTTTGCTATTGTATAGTCAGTGATCAGTTGTTTTTTCTTAGTTTTTCCTTTTTATTCTCATTTTTTTTTCTTGTACGTACATGTATAATGGTACATGTAAGAATGAGCATTGCAATGATTATTCTTTCTTATTTACGTACACATGTAAACGTGTTCGGGACTTATCTTTGGTCTTTGTGTTATTAGCTTTGTGTTTTGCATCCAAATCTTCTCTTATTTTTGGATTTTCTTGCAAATTCTTCATCTTTAAAAGTGATTCTATGTATTTTTGCTCTCTCTATGAACTATAATTGTGGCATTAATAATTTCTATGCATAACGATCATATTTCATAATGAGTACGAGGGCTGTTCAATAAATAATGTCCTGAACTATATAACATATATTACAGATATCATGTAACATTAAACTTGACTTTCTCTCATTATTGAATCTTTCATGAATTTATAACAGTTTATGTGACCACTTTTCATCACATAGTTTCATCGTGAGAAGCTGGGAAACAAGGGTTTTTCGAGACACTGCATTATAAATGAATGGTAAAGAATCAGTAAACTAGAGTGAAAATAAAAGTTTCATTATAGCTGCCGTAAAACTTGTTAAAAATTCCAAAGAAATATTCAATGAAATATACGACATTTACAGCAACCAATTCCTGTTTTATAGACAAAAGAACAGGTGGATTTCAATGATAAAAAATTATATAATGGGCATCAAAAATGGGTACCCTCCTTGCCAACAAAAATAATAACAACTTATGTACTGGTTGCCAAATTTCAACAAATAATATTTGATGATGTATGATTCACTTTAAGACACATAGCAAATTTGATAGACATCATATCGGGAGTAGTTTACACTATTTTTAAGAAATGTTTGACGGTAAAAAAGCTTGGTATTCAAAGGTCACCCTTTATTTTGAAAAATGATTGAAAACGACAGCGTATACGAAATTCTTAACAATCATTTTAAAATATCAGTAATTTTAGTTATCCACATTTGTTTTATTTTTAAACAGATATTGGAACATGAATCTATTGGTTAAAACCCTCAAAACAAAAATTACCATAAGATGTACCTGATAAAAACGGCGAATGTCTGACAATAGCACAGGTATTCAAAAGCACAAAAACAGATTTATATGAAATCTTCTTAAAAATTAATGGTATTGTTGTTCAAATTCGTATTCGGAGAAACAGTTCAATTTCTGGAGGAGTCTAGAAAGCAATTTTTTGCAGAAAAATCAAAAGGTTTATTAGAGGAAGGACCCAGAATCAGGAATCCACTACATTGAATTTCTTCAAGACAGCGTCCAAACCTGCATGCCCTGAAGAGTAAAAGGGTTTTCGGGATAAACAGAAAGTTAATGATTTTTCACATTAACAATATTCGCCAGATCTTTGAACTTTTGACTTGTTTCCATTTCCAAACTTGAAAAAACACCTTTCAAAGGGAAGAAATAAGTCCTGGAAATCACTGGACCTGCTATTTTTTAGTATACTAAGGGTCATACCCAAAAATGAGTTCTAAAAACAATCAGAAATTGGATAAAAAATGTTACGGACATGTATTTTACTTAAAAGAGGTTAATTAGTAAAATCATGAAGACTAAATCATTAAAAAGCGTCTTTTGCTTCTTTCTGAGCACCGAGGACAATATTTATTGAACAGCCCTCGTATGTATAATTCAAATGAGTGTTTGTGTTATTAATTTTATGCTATGACTTGTGTTACTAGTATTTTCTTGCTTGTTTGCTTGTTAGTTGCAAATAAGGCTATTGTTTTAAAAATGCTTTGAATTAGTGTAAATGTTTTTGAAATGATTTAATCTTTTATTATTGTTAAATGGTTTCAGATTCATTATTTTAAACAGCAGATGGACATAGTAAGAACATATTCTATAGAATATTACAAGTTTAAATTTTGATGGAGCAATTTCTGGTATTTGCATTGCTCGAAGAGACCTTTATACTCTTTCACAAACCAGGGTTTCCTCTCTTTCTCCATTGGCAGATGTATTTGTTCGTCCTCTGAAAATTTATATACATTCATATATTACAATGTTACAAATAGCTACAATATCACAAAGTTAAGTCATATAGATTTAGTCCGACTTGCTTCATTTGTGATTGATTAAACGATTAAATATGTTTTCTTTGTTTTTTTTTTTTTTTTTTTTTTTGAAATAAATGGTTGCAACTTTTCAGGAAAAAAATTTAGTTTAACTGCAATGATGCATTTTCATCTCCGTAAATAATAATAAAATTATTTCATATTCGTTGTATTACCGGAGAATTAAATTTATATCCAAATAAATTATTCATGTCAAGTTGGTGAACGTGTGAAAAATATTGGAATGTTGATATAAATGAGCCACATGTATTTACTTTGATGAAATAAGCACTAAATAGTTTACCTTCGGCGTTACATCCATAATAATTTGAGTTGATTGTAATTGTTAATAAAAAAGTAGAAATAAATGAAATAAAAACCATTGAAGTAAGTGAGTTCATTGGGTGTATTTAATGCTTGTAATAATGTCTTGATCAAGGAAAAAAAAATCCTATTCTACATATCTATGGAACTATGGATATCTAAGTAAACTGATAAACAAAGCGTTCATGAAAATGATTTCGAACTTATTGATAAAATTTATACTAGTCTAACACGTATTTTACAAACCTACAGAATATGTACTTAATTAGAATGTAAATGTTAAAATGTAGAAAAAGTTTCTTTAATTTAAAAACTGATCTCTTAATTAAAACCCATTTTAGATTTAAAAAAATAGTTACTTTACATTCCATCTACCCCTGTATGATTAATTTGAAAAATTGTGTGAATTTTTCTCATTAAAAATGTGCAAAGTTTGAATTCCGTCTACAGAGGATGTGTCAGATTTTTTTAGTAATTACGGATCTTAAGCCATTGAATACGGAAATTGAAACTGAAAATGAAATAATTTTTTTTAGCTGACCTGGGCTAAAACTCCATGTAAGCTTTTCTGATCGGAGCTCCAATGTCCAGATGCTGTTGAATGTAATTTTTTGTTATTTATAATCTTCTCAATTCAGAGCATGCATGACGATAGCTGATTCATATCTTTTTCTAAAACAAAAACAAAAACAAAACACGGGCTTCTTCAAGTGAAGACAATTCAGAAATGATTTCAATATCATTTTGCATATATTTTATAATTCATACAAAAGGATTGGTTACAAGTTCTTTCAACTTAAATTTCAAGAAAGAAACTCATTTAAAAATCTCCTCAAGACCGTACCACTCGCCAGAAAAGATATCATATACATGTATGTTACCTGATTGGGTGTAGATTTAGTTTAGCTTTTAATTATTCATTGCCTTTAAGGATCTCCAGAGAAAATCCTAATTTATAAAAGAGAGAGAGAAATGTGCAGGGAATTTCCTTTAAACTTTTCTGTTACAGGAAAAATATGCACTGCTTTGTTAGCATCCTAAATTATGTACTTTAATATTTTGTCAAATTAAGACCATGAAGCTAGGTTGGCATATAAATGTGATCTTTTTTGTATATATATATATATATATATATATATATATATATATATATATATATATATATATATATATATATATATACATCAAGTAGTATCAAGCTAATTTTTATAAATACTCGTATCAGAAACACCAGCGCAACAATACCCCAAGTAACCTATCAATAAGGATATATGATATATGTGATGACTTCAACTTTTTAATCGGCAACTTTCCCTGATTATGAACTAACATACCCTCATCACCTGCATTAATTATTTTGGGGTTTTTGTTTCTT